GGAATAGACTTGGCCTGATGCAGCCACAAAAGTTACTGTGATGCTTTGGTGAAGGGCACAGTGCCATTTGAACAAGGGAAATGGAAGGACGTAGTATTCAAAGAGAAGTATGCACGATGATAGACAGAAGCTATAACGGGGACAAGTTGCAAAGTTGAGCCTGAGAAGCGTGTTCAAAGATTTGAGTGTGGACAAAAACCCTAGAAGCTGTGAATGAAGCGATACTGAAACCGAGTAAAAAGAAGGGCAATGGAACAGGTCATGAAAGGTATGGATGCAAAATGTATGCCACAAGCCATTTATGTGGCTACGACTTCGAAAGCATGTAGAACCGTTGGAAAATTGCCACCAAAAGAGGTGGGACTCGAGTCCGAGATGAGCGACTCAACGAAACAAGAAAATTTCTAGATGGAGAGGGCTACAAATGTCATGGTTTCGTACAGGCCACCCTTAACCCTCCCCCCTTTTTGAACTGCTTCTCGTCAACGTAGATATGAAGGAGTAGGATTGCATTTGATAAGAAACAATGTACTTATAGCAACAGAAGCCCTAAACTTTTCATGCTTGAATCTGAGAGAAGGATAAACACGTCTATTGTATAAAAGAAATACAGTTGGGGCGAAAGGTGAAAACAAAAACAGAATACTGCTGAAAGCTACATATTTTCGGATTCCAAGGGGAGCCTCGAGTCTCATAGCTAAGTGAATGTCAACTGGGATAAAAACGAGGAGAGGCTCCGCTGAGGAGCCAGTCAATTGTAATGTACTAGAAATTAATACTACAGCCATGTGCAGGTCGCTGGCCAGCAAGTTGACACTCGCAGCTATGTACCGACGAGGCCACTCACCCCAGAATATAATTAATCACAAAAAAACGAATGAAATGAAATTGCGTATTTTAGAGAGCAACAGTGGGGAAATTCTTCAACTCCAAGTCTTGAAAACTGTTTTTACTTGAGTACTGAGCATTGCAATTGCACTGCAGCAGTTTGTTTTTCGTTATACGAAAGTACCGCAAAAAGAAATAAAAACTCGTGACGTGAAATCTTGCCCGAGAAATAAATGCTCACAACATCGTGAACTGCCTCACCGATGCCGTCCAGTGCAAGTTTGCAGCTTAGAACACACCAGAAGAAATTGCAGAAATAAAATCTTATTTGTATCTACTGTAGAAACGTTTATTAAAACACTGACTATTTGCTATGAAGCTTGTCCGTCCACGCTTCACCTGTAGATCGACAGAGTTCTTGTTGAGTTTTGAACTACTAACAACAATTACTAGCTTTGCTCCGTTGAATTATTGTATATCGACTGAACGTAAATAAAAGTGACCAAGGT